AAACTTCAAGGTCTTCCAAAAAGATTGGACTCGGGGTATAACGCCAGTTTGAAGAAGCCCACATTTCCAAATCGGCAAAGATTTTATTTGATTATATGATCATAGAAGCAAATAACAATATCACCCCTATCCTGCCTTTTAAGAAAAATGTATTTGTTCCCCTTTGAAGCTCCAGTTTAAGACACTTAAAGAGGGTTCAAAGGGGTCTGATACCCATTGCTCTAGTGCCTCTGTCTACATAGTTGTTGTGCAGTGGTGTTTCTTAGGTGATTGTAGAAACAATAGAAAAGTGGCTGTTTAGTTTAAGGACAAAGGGACGAGTGCTTGCTCTCTAGCAGTCATTAATGATATAACTAAAATTGCTGCAAGGGAAGCCTGAAAACTTCAGCAGGCTCAAGGTGAGAGGGACTGAGATACTACCATCGGGAAGCAAGCCTTCTGTGCAAACATTTGAGTTTTTTGAGTCACCAGCTACTGTGAAGCCCCCTCCCCCCTCCAAATAGGGTGTCAATAACCCTGCAGATATGGTGACAGGCAGTAAAGATGTATGTGGTAGCTGGGGACCACACCATCCAGAAGGTTAAATGTGTTGTGAAAAAAGGCCGAAAGTGTTTTCAAACAGCCTTGGTGAGTTTAATCCATATGAAGAATACATTCTTCACCATCTGCCTTATTCCTTTGGTCTCTGTCCTCTTCTGTATTTATTGTCTTACAACACGCTTTTTTGCTTGTGCCCTTTTCTTTCCATTTTGGTGAATAGAGAGTCCACACAAATAAGAGTGGAAGCCCCATACAAGAGAAACCAACCTCTTCCAAAGCTCTTAATGTACCTTTTCTGTGTATGTGGTCACAGAAAATCCCCTAGGGAAATTAGCTTTTGCTTTCTTGTTGCAATTCTTTTATTTCTAGATGTTGCTCTAACAGTAACAAGGGACAGATTTTCAGATCACTTTAGTAGCTTTGTTTCATAGTGATTAGTTAGTAACTATAGAATTTATTAATCAAAGAGATGTTTGAATTCGATCTGATGTTATGTATTTGGTATGTATATAGTGTGTTTCAGAACACCTAACAAAATTGATTTTTATATGTTTTTGTTGACCATGATTTATATATGGAAAGCATAGTTTACAATTTCAAAGATTTGGTGAAGCAGTTTCATTTTTTATCCTGAGATACTTGGCAGAATTAACAAATTACTGGTTTTGACATGGAGAAGTAGACAAAGGAATTGATTAATTTTCAGTCAATATCTGATAAAAGAAAATGTTTTTTAAAATTAAACTGATTTCATATTGGACTCTTCCTCCAAAAAGTAAGAGAATTGCATAAATTAAGAAAATCTTATCTGAAATTCTGTGTATCTAAAGTAGTTGTATTTTTCTGCATCCTTTGAATATTCTTCAAAAGATTGCAGTGAAATTATTTTGCATTTCAAGGTTGAGTGAAGCTTAGCTATTAACCAAATATAGAGAATAAACAGGGAAAATAGGCAGCCTAGTGAATGAGGAAGTGAATGGATTAAAATATTTCCATAAAAATTTTTTACTGTTTCTACTTGTTAACTATTACTGTTATTTGTTGATAAAGAACAGCTGTGATTTATGTGTTATTATGTTTATTTGGAATAAAGTACCTGCTGTGGTCAGCTGTAACTCTTACAGTGGGCTACTGCAGGACTGATTCTACCTCGCCTTAGTTGTTGGCTTTATTGGACTGTCTCCTGATTTATATCCTAGTATAAAAGAAAGGAAACTGCTTTCTTTTGCTCATTTAAAATACTAGCTTACATATTTTTCATAGCATCTACAGTGTCATTTAAACCCACTGGTATCCTCCTGAGAGTTTCCTGTTTATGTCAGCTGATGTAAATTCAAGGCATTGAGGAGTTTCTGGTTGTTCTTTCACCGTCCTGAAATTTTCAAGCTCTGGGACAATGATACAGGAAACCTGGACCGAGGGCTCCTCTGACACTCTGGCTAGTGATGCCAAATGCTAATGCTGGACATAGTCATTCTGACAGCTGACATTCATCCAGAGCTTTTGAACACACATTCTGACAACTTGCCTTTTAGCAGCAGGCTCATGACAGGTCAGATGTCCTTGTTGCCCCCATGTAACTTTATGCTAGATCAGATGCAGTCTGTACTTTAGTAGTGGGCTTGAAGTCAGCATAAGCTTCCCGTCTTGTGTTCATACTTAGTTCAACACAGATGGGATTGTATGCTGCTGCCTGATTCATATCAAATTGATGCTGTTCAGTGACCTGCAGGACACAGACGAGGTATTAATGATGGTCTTTTGATATATTTATGCCTATATGAAGCAGCTGATTAAATGTTATGACGTTGCTTTTTACAGCAGCAGCCTTTTACTTTACTCTTTCAGTCTCTTTCAGTGTAGGGAGTTGATGATTTATTATTCTATGATAATCTCCCCTGCCTTCTTTTCAGTGGAAGAATTGTTATTTTTCCTTGTAACAGCAAATGTTTGTCCGTAGTAAAAAGAGCAACACATTTTTCTTCTGTTTCCATGCCAGAGAAAAGTCCAGACAAATGTTCATAAGGACTAGAGTCTTGGATAACTTTTGTTTATCATTCCAGTAATACAGTCGCTCCAAATTACTTAATTTCTCATGTTTCCTTTTCAATGGCTAGCACCCAGGCCATTTTTGGTCATCATCCTTACCATAACACAGCAAATTGTCTTACCTGCTGTTGGCATCCTGAGGTACTGTTTATACACAGATAATAATACCAGACCCTGTAATTGAACGGGAAACCACAATGCATTGAGGATGCAACTTTCTGTATTTACCAGCACTACTCCCTTTTCTAGTTTTTCTGCTGGGATTTGTTTTTCTCTGACATGTAAGTTTCAAGCAGCTCAGATTATTCATGAATAAATAGCAATTTCACTGTATTGTTGCAGATTGGTATTTGAGATGACATATGGCCTTTCCCTAATGGAAATCTGACAAATGCACAGTCCTTGATTCCCTGATATGATAAAGCAAATATTATTGTTACTACTGAAATTTGTTTAAAGTGGCCTTTAAGTGAAGGGTGTTAGTGGCATCATCCAGGAAAGGATCAGTATATATCTGTTACATTTTCTCAGTCCTAAATAGTAGAGTTATATATTACTAAGTATTCCATACATATATATATATATACACATCCATCTATCTATCTATCTATCTATCTATCTATCTACTTTCATATATGTGTGTGTGTGTGTATATGTATATACACTCTCCAAGCATTACAACTGTATTTCAGTGTCAAACCCAGGTGGGTTTCCTGCATTGTTATAGTACACTTTTCTTTTATGTATTTGGTGCAGAATGTCTTCGGTTTTACATACTAAAGGCATTTTTCTAAAAAATAGCTAACTGAACATTTATGATGCATGCACACATATAGGCATATGATGTTGTATTGTTTATTTTTTATAGTGTGATGGGGCTTGTAAATGTTTTATTTCACCCCATCCAGCTTTTTGCTAAGAGGAGGAGTTTCCATGTTATCAGAGGCAACTTCCATTTTTTACTTACAATTACTACTTGTTACAATTTAATTCTCTGTAATACTATATAAAATTAACTGCTGAGTAGCACATTGATTCAACTTTAGTGAATTCAAAATATGTTCTCTCCTGCTTCACAGGAAAGAAATTAAAATACCTTTTCTTTTTCTTTTGATTTAATTGAACATCTGTAGTGGGAACAGACCATAATCCTAGAAGAGCTTAAATCCTTTGTTGCGGTGTCCACAGTGGAGTTGAGTGCAGAATAAGGCATTTTCTTTACATGTTTGTCCTTGGAGCTATTTGATCTGGAGGGGATTGAAGGATTTGGATTTTCTTCCTTTGACTGGGAGAGCCATAGATGCCTTAATGTACTTCTGTCTGCAGTCCACAACCCATCTGAAGAATCTGGAGAAAAAGTTGTATGAGTTGTACACCCATATGAAAAGTAGATTTAATTTAGGAAAATTATTTGCATTGAAATACTTTTCACTTTTTGTCCTGATGTTGCTATTCTGTTTTGTGGAGTATTGTGTGCACGAGGAAGCAGCTAGAAATGTGAATTGTCTAATTATTAATTTCCAACTGTGATGAGAATTTGCTAGTCCAACAACTTCCATATTATGACCTGCGTTTTAACTTTCTAATCTCAGTGTGTTTTAATGGAGGCAATCTTGTAAACCACCATCTGTGATCTAAATCACAACACAAAGTACACTGGGCATTTTGAAGGTGTGTCCCGGCCAGCTACCTTTTGTGCTACCGTGTAACAGCCATCAGTTTGAGTCATGGCAGCAGTGATTAAGAGCAGACTGTGGCCTTTAAAGAAAGTCCAGAACACTTCTCGTTTTGTTTCAGCTCAGATTCCTCTACCTAGACTGAGGAATCTGAGGAATGCTGCGTTCCAGCTGTGGCTCTCTCCTGCTAGTGAAACTGCACAGCCAGCACTGCAGTCTGTGCGTGTATCAGTGGGCTCCTTGATTTTTGCATGAGTATCGGTAGGAATGGTGGAAGGGCTTGCAATGGATTGCAGCTGCAGGGTTTGGTAGGACTGGGGGCATGGTGCTGTTCTGGCAGCCTCCTTGGGTTCTCTCTTCCCATCTTCTTCATAGAGAGCTGTCCCTCAGCTGAGGGCTCTTTTATCTGGTGCTTTCTCTGATGTTTTTCCGTTGTTCCTGGTCTTCAGTTTATGTACTTCAGCACATGTTTTACACATGCATGATCTATTAATTCCCCTGTAGAATATTGGTGTTTATGTTTTGAGAAGTTTGCAAAATTCTTGTGTTGGTCTTCTCTTTTGTCCTCCTCTGAGGATTCCCGTTACTTTCTGGAGTTTGCACAGCAATGTAAGTTCTGTGCCTCATCATGGGTTCGCGAGAGATAAATACTAAACTGCTTTGTTTATTTTAGGAGGTCTTGGTTATGGACACAAGTGCAAGTCCATTGGAAAAGGCAGCGACAGCAATGCAGTAGTCACCAGCAATCCCATGACAGTTCAGCAGCTGGGACCTCCTTCACCTACAGCAAATCAGCTTTCAACAGCATGCAGCCACATCTCCCCTAGCTCACAAAGGTCTATGGATGCTTCCAGCCTGAGTGCTTCTCCATCACATACAAGGTCCTCAACTACCTTTTATTGTTCAGTATTTTAAGAGGAGAGGGTTTTAATTCTTCTATAATTAAAATGTGACATTTCTGATCATTAAAATGAGAAAATCATTTTCTGTTATGCCACGGGAAATTGCATTCCATGTAATGTAATTCAGACAATACTGTTATAATCATACTGTTTGGACCATTCAAATAATGGGTGAATTTTTGCCACACAAAATCTGTGTATGATAGGAATTTTTTGGTAGATAAAGGCTGTTTTATAGTCACAAACTAGATTTTTGTACTAGGTATAGGAAGTGTTATGGAGGATGAAAACAGAAATAGTCCACATGTTGCATCCACATAGTGCGAAGTATGCCTTGTTAGTGCCTTTCAAATAACACCAAGGGCAGACAAAAAATCCATAAATGCTCTGCACATGTTCCCCTCTCCTTATCAAATGCTTTTGCTTTCAAATGGTTTACATAATTAATCAGATCAATTGTTCTTGAAAACTTGTTAATTTTCCTAGTTCTGTTGAATAGGTAAAGAAAACTATGACCACTTCCTGTAAGTGTTGCCTTTTTATATCACTACCCCACAGATAAATATTTACTAATTAATTTTAAATGCTTAAATAAGTTTTGAGATTATGACTTTAATTTTTTGTGAACAATGAATTAGAGGAAAACAGATATTTGAGAACCACTCAGTAAGTATATTAGGCGCATCCCTGGATGTTAAACATACAGTGAGAAAATATTCTAGTGTATTATTTGGAATCTACATTCCCGATTGCCTACTGAGTTGAAATGTAGTTTCTTATTTACAAAAGACCACAAGAATTTTTATTCTCAAAGCAGTTTACATTTACTATGTTGCTTTATTATGAGCCAAGGGACGTTCCTGAAATAATTAAAATTTGTACTGTGCAAATGGAATAAAACCTTGCTTTACTTTCAAGATAATTTTTAGCATTTCTGTCACTTAAGTTGTGAAGACTGAATTCCCTGGGAAATTTACAAAATTAATTATGCTTCCTATGTAGACATGTCAGATAGCATCAGATTCTGGTGCATAGACCATGGAAGATAAAACCCTCCCCGTTTTTTTTTTTTACTTTCTCCAAAACTTTTTTGGAGTATTCAGTTGTGTTGCATGAAACCAGATGTAATACTGCCATTTATTTTGACACAAGTCAGAAGAAGACCTAGGAAAGAGCAAAGGCTTCTTGGCTAGTAAATAGAAGACTATGAAAAGAGAGAAAAACACACATTTCACTCTTCCATGTTTATGTTTAAAATTCTGGATTATACTCTGACACTGTGGCCTCTGTACACAAAGGGAGAATACAATGTAATTGCAAGTAATCTCTTGTAAATGTTAGTGAAAGATCTGGTCCAAACTCAAGCTGGTTTAGTTTACTATAAACAGATGCACCAATTAATATCATCTGAGAATCTGGCACACTGATAGATCTGATCCCTCATTTTCATATTAGGTGTATTTATTTTCCCCCTATCACAGTGTAGGCTGAATTTTAAATAAATCATTTTTTTGGGAGCTGTAATTTTTCTTATATTTGAATTTAGATGCTGAAGTGCTGCAGCTTCTTCAGAATAACTGGCTCTTACTTATTGTATACTTGAAATTCTGGGCCAGCTTTTTATTTTTGTCCTATTATGAGACTTTTTAAAAACCAGTTTTTGTTCAGATTCACCAATGGATATGCCCTTTTGTGTTAGGCATTAGTAGCCTTTTGTATGACACTGGTCCTACTATGCATCTGATTAAAATTCCTGTCAGTACTAAAATAGGCTTTTTATTGATGCACGATTTCTTTTTCTTTATTCATAAAAGAGAAAACAAAAAATTAAACAAAAACTGGCAAAACACCCCTACCCTCTCCTTATACTTTCTGTGTGTGAATATATACATCATAGCATGTAGGAATGTCTTGCTCTATTGAAAACTGGATCTGTATTTGGGGTCACAACATACTAGCATGATTTAATTGCTCTATAATGACCTGTGCTTTAACAAAGCCCATTGACAAAAGCCTAAATCAACTTTTTCACAGTCATCCCTGTAGATCTAAATGGTGCACACGATTGACCTGATAGAACAGTCTCATTTTTCTCATTTTTCTCAATGCAAATTGTAGTCAGCATGCTAACTGTGCTTTTTGTCTGTGGTCTGTTTTGCAAGTGCCATTTAAACCCTGATGAAGTAACATAAGGTCTGACAGTACCTTGCACTGGCATTGAATCAGAACAGGATGTTTCTTGTTCTGATACAGCAGACCAACCACGCGTTACAAAGCAAGTGTCTTGCGCAAAGGGGCATTTAACCATCTCTCCCTCTGGTCACCACAGCAAGGCTTGCTGTTCTTTTCAGCTAGATTTTCCCAGTTTGTGAGCTGTCTTACAGATACAGCACCTGCAAACTACTTCCTCTCTCTCTCAGGCGGTGCCAAGCTTCCCCTCCCCTGTCCTTGATCCACCATTGAAATTCCATGCTTCTTCAAAACTGTATTGCGAAAATAATAAACCCAAGAATTAATCCTCAAAACATAAGATGTAGAAGCTTCTGTGAGATTGTCAGGTTTATCTAAATACATATGCAGTTCTTCCCATTGTAAGCGCTCCTCTTATAAAAACAGAAATTTATATACTGATAGCACCACTAGCTGGCAGGAAATCCAAGTTTGCCTGGGTGTGAACTGGAAACAAATAAATCCAGTTAACCTTTAGCCAGCTGTGAATTAGGACCCTTGATGTCCCTTTTATTTTCTTTTTATCCCTTTCTGTAGAAAATAATACTTTTAAGAGCCTATATGTTGAGTGTTTTTAAGCTATCCAAAGATTATATGCAGCATAAAGAAGTTTCATAATGTCTCTGTGAAACATGAATGGTAACAGTGAGATTACACTTTTGTGAAAAATTTTGATTGCTGACTTGGAGGCAGATACATCTTCAAACAAATCTAAGAAACCTTTTCAACCAGTTCTCCTATGTTACTCATTTATTTTGTTTGTTTTGTAAAGTTAGATATTATCTATATTTATAAACTTGATATATAAAGCTTCTGTAGGGAACTATTTGTAGTATTTGTATACATTACAATTGACAAAGTCATTCAGGTTGAATTTTATTCTCTATGGATTAGTTTTCTTTCTGTTTTTTCAAGCAAAAATAATAGATTACTCAAATCAGTATGAGTTTCATAGAAGATGGGAACATAATGCTTTGACTTCAGAAGTCCAAACCTATTTACACCACAATTGATGAAAAAATGTGAAATAATTTCTGCAGGGGTGAATCAAGAATCTTTGCAGTAACTTTCTTTCAAAATCTTGGAAGTTTTAAAGTTGGTTTCCTGAGTGACCTTTTTACATGTATATTGCCTTTGTGTAACTACAGGTACATGAACTGAGTGTGCTAAACTTGAGTACCTAATTTTAGGGAGAACTTTTCTCACACGTAGCCTTTTCTTAATTTTAAGTGTGTGTGTGAAAGTAAAAGATCTACTTCTGAACTGTCTAACTGCTTACTTTATCATGCCTTTATTTCAGGTCACTCTTGTCATGTGAGTCTCTGGCCTCTACAACGTTAAGCTTGTCAGAAAGTCACCCACCTCTGAGTGTTGAACAAGAGTGGTCACATAGGTACAGGACACTTTCTTCTGTTCCACCTGACCACAGTTTACAAAATGACAGTGAGCTGGGGGACTTAATAAATTTTTCGCCTGAATCATCTATGTCTAGTAACTCATTACTGTCCTACTCATATGATATGGAAAATAAGAATTCCCCTTACTCTAGTCCTTGCCAGTCCTCAGCCTGGTCTCAGTCAGCCCGCCCCAAGAAGAGAGCACTCTCTCTATCTCCTCTGTCTGACGGCATTGGGATCGAGTTCAATACAATTATTCGTACATCCCCAACTTCTCTGGTGGCCTACATCAACAGCTCCAGGGCATCGCCAGTAAGCATCTGCCCACAGCCTGAGGTCTATGGGCATTTTTTGGGAGTGAGAGGAAGCTGTATACCCCAAAACTGTTCTGTTCCAACTGCCCAGAGAGGCTTCCACATGTCGAATGGCAATGTCCCTTTTCCAGGGTATGTTGAGAATGGGACAGGCGAGTACCATCGAATGCAGCAGCTGGAGCAGGCCAGCTTGCAGATGGTAGCTACAAATAACATGGTGATCCAGCAGGGTGTGCTGCCCGTGGACAGCCAGGTGACGGACATCCTGAAAAATGAACATCTGGATGACTTCTCAGGCCCTACTGTTGACATGCCTCTTTCACCCCTGGTGCTGCCACCAGCTGCTCCGCAGGGGCCGCCCCCGCCGTACCGCGCTCCCCAGCACAGCCTCCCCAGCCGCCTGCACCCGCCTGCCGCCCCGGGCGCCCAGCTGCAGGACGATGGCCAGCTGGACCATCTCAGTGGCAAGCACGGCTGCTGCTGGGTCGACTGCGGGAAGCTGTACGACCATCGAGAGGAGCTCGTGCGGCACATAGAGAAGATCCACATAGACCAGAGGAAGGGAGAGGACTTCACCTGCTTCTGGGCTGGCTGCCCTCGAAGGTTCAAGCCATTTAATGCCCGCTACAAACTGCTGATTCACATGAGAGTCCACTCAGGAGAGAAGCCGAACAAATGCACAGTAAGTCTTGAGTTCTGTCTTTCTTACCAGCTAAAGGCTCTCTATTGCTTAGAAAAATACAGTGGCATTGTAATTCTGCCTTTGTTTCTCCCATTTAATGGTGTACTTTTTAAACTAGTCCGTGAGAATGAAGAACTGTTCCATATTCCCATCTTACATAGAAAGGAAAGGTGTTCTTTTATTTAATACATACCAACTGATAGGATTAGACAAAATGTTGTATTTTCTACATTTATAAACTTTTACTGTAGAGTGCAACAAGTGATATGGTAAACCTTCATAAGGTAAAATTGAAGCATAGACAGTACTTAAGTATTTGCATGAAGGATTCCTTCAGAAAAAGTGCTGCAGAATAAATGTTAAAATTTATCCTGAAATATTCTTGCATCAGGTTACACCATTTTTACTTGAGGAACTTTCAAGGCCTTGCAGAATATTACCACAAGAAACTAAGAAGAGTCGGGCATTTTCAAGGCAGCTGTTTGTTCTACTACTAAAAAACCCAAACCCACATATCTGTTTCCATTAATACATTAAGAATAAATCCCATAATAATTTTTATGTTCACAGATTCTAGAAGTGAGCATTCAACCCCCGAAGTCATGTTTTTCTTGCTGTTTTTCTTAAGGTCTCTGCAAGTCAGTCTAACACATAGGTTACACATAGTCACATGGGTTAATAATCTGGCTGTAATCAGTTTATGCTTGGTCTCCAGTGCACCATCTATAATCTCTGTAATTCAGATTCTTGAATTGCCTTGCATGTGGTCTGTATTTTGGATAACAATCCCTGTATGACAAGGATGACACCTTACTAAGTGCTTATTTATTGTCATCAGACAGCAACCTCACCAGTGCAGTTTTGAGTCCCCATCATAAATGATGATGAGGATATAATTTCTAGGAATAACCACTGATTTAAAAAATATTTACATGCGGTGAACTTTAAATTGGTGCTTGGAGTCTCTATCAGGGTATGCCTTGTTGAAAACTTTTTTTAGCATGATGTAGATGTTTGCTTGTACACTTAAGAGAAAAAGGTTTTTTCTTTTAATTTAGTTTTTTCAAAGGGCCAGTGTCCTGTGGGATAGAATGGATATCTTTCCAGATTTCTCTCCTGAATTTAAAGAATCTGGTAGAGATTATAACATGACATGAGAAAGGCTTTTTATTATTTCCTTTTGTCCTACCAGAGTCTCTGCTCTATTAATATTTTTTAAAATTCCACAATATTCTTTTTCTGCTCTCGGGGTATACTGGGTCAGGTACCATTAATTTCAGTTCTTCCTTAAGGATTTCTCATCACCTTTATGGGAAGCGAGAGAATGATGAAAAAAAATATGAGTCAAGAAATTTATTTTTCAAGGGAATATCACATGTAATTAAAGATATGGAGACAGACATCAGTGGATGAGTAATGATTGAAAACAGGATGAAGAGGGCAGGATTGATGAAAGAGCACTGAAAAAGAGTAAATCCAACTACCCAAGGTCTTCATAATAGAAGAATTATGATGAAGGATCCTATAATACTGGGGAAAATATTGTGGTGGTAACACTCCAAGCTTCCTGTTCTCCCTGTTTAGAAAGCATGCTTACAATGACCTCCTGATTATAAAGCCTCCTTGAGGAGTCCTTAGCTTGGAAGATCATTCACTGATGATAAATAATGTGTAAGTGGATAGGGCATTTCATATGATAAAGTTTTTGAGATTACTGAGCCCAAACTAAAATGCACACCAAGTCTTGATGTGTCACCAAAAAATAAGAGGTGTCTATATCAGCTTCTGAAACAGTGATTGCTTTTTAAACATAAGAGTGTGATTAATTTTACTGAACTGAAGCAAGAGTTGCTGGATAGCACCAAGAAGTTTGCATATCAGAAACAGTACCCACATACTTACCTTTCTTTCATGTTGAGAATTGTAGTGAAATGCGGAAATACTGAGGGTGATATGATAACCCTCATAATGTGAGTGTAAATCTGGAACATAGGTCCCCTTTCTTGGGATAAGCAAGCAGAAATGGCATTCTTTAGCATGGTTTGAATTAAATAACTTGCTGCTTTATTCCTTTACCATTTCACAAATGGTGTGAATTTGGAAAAATGTATTTGCCTTTGTAACGTCCATATAGTTTCTTCATATATTTAGAAAATTTACTTCAGTCAAACATCTTACCTTTCTCACCAAGCAGTGAAATTTGCAATCATATCCATGACATGTAAGGTTTTAAACAAATATTTTGAGTGAGGTGTTTGGGCGAGCATCTTGGGCAAGATGATAATGAGAATGATTTCCCAATTAACAAAAAAATTGCACAAAAGAAATATGAAAATTTTCACGAAACCTCTACGAATTTATGCGTTTAAGTGCAAAATCAAAACGATCCATTTTTAATCTGTATTTGTCCATTCAGGGTCTTTCTATAATTTATTTTCTGGTTCTAGGTGTAACATGCCTGTTTCTCTGAAATTATAAACTAATAGTCACTATGTCCACTGCAGTTTGCAGGGGAGTAAGAGTCTGCCAGAAGACCAAGCAGGAAAAGGGAAGGAAAAATGCCAAACATGCATCTATTAATTAATTATATTAATGAACCAGATTTACTGTAAAGAATGTAGCAGAACTAGTAAGGAGGAACTATCTTAATGTTACCTATCAGGTCACCCTGTAATCAAAGGCAGGCGGTTACAGTGGTTATCTCAGTACCATCACTCACTAACCATTATGTAAGCATTACATGTGTCAGTGGTTTCCAACAGTATGCAAGACACCATCTTCTCATTGATCTTAAATTGCAGTGGGTCCTAGTGTCAGTATATTTACTTGTCAGTGTTGTTTATCTCTGTACTGCTGCATATTGAAAGTGTATGATTACATATTGTGCTGTGTATCCCTAAGGATTGCTGTGATAGGTCAGTGGGCTTTACATCAGCAAGAACTTAAAGATTTCAGTAATTTTTAAGGTGAGGGTTACTTCTAAGTTGTATTGTTGTAACAATAGTAGAGATAATACGAAATCAGATATACAACTTCATAAGCTGAACTTTGTAACATAATTTTATTCTTCTCTATTTTTGTTTTGTGATGATGAAATCATGTAGTTCAGAAGAGACTTGCAGAACAGCTAGCACTTAAATACTAGATATGCTTATCATTAAAACCAGAAACATGCTTATCGTTAAAATCAGAGTTAAATGGCCTCAGCATTTGTTTTGCCACATCTGAGTTATTATCTATCTATGTAACAAAAATTTGGGGCAATAAACTGAAGCTGGAAGCAATATTCTACTCTTTCGTTCCTGCTCATTCTGGATGAGCTGTCCTTTTGATTCTGGAAGATAAAAGTGTTGAAGGATGAACAGAAATCAAATATCAGGAAAAAAAAAGATGTGAAAATCAGGATAATCAGATCCAAATTTAAAGAATTTATTTGGAATAGCAATTCTTTAAATAGTTGTTACAATGCATTGGGCTCCCTTACTGTTTGTTAAACATCTTTCATGTTCTGTTCTAACTTACATCACCTGGGAAGATTTCTTCTTTTCAGTGACCTGGTTTGGTGACTGAAATTATTCATGACATGGTAATGCATATTTAATGTCTGCTCCTAAACTTCTTCGTATAAAGTAGGTATAGCAGGTGCTAATGTGTTGTATTTATCTTTTAAGCTGTGCATTAGCTTGTATTTTATAGGAGTAAGTCAAATAAGAAAAAATGTGAATAAAATTCATATTGAAACACAAATAGTAAGTACAATGGCGGTTGAGGTATAATCTCTAACAGCAGTTACCTCACAATGGCATTTAAGGCTTCTGCAGATTTTGTTCGGATTAGAAAAGGCTGAATTCCCAGTAGCTTTTGAAACCTCAGAGTAGCAACTGGCAAATGCTGACCTCTGTTCTCTTTGTCTCCACCTGTGAGCTTATTTTCTACTCAGGTTCCCTTCTTTTATAGTGAACATTTTTACTTTTAGAGTTCGGCTTCAATTAGAGGTATTTATATGCAAACATTAAACTTAAGACATTCATTCTGGTGTAAACAGCAACAGCATGATGTTAGAGATAAATTCCAAGCTCACATTTTACAGCTTCATTCAGATGAACTAAGAATGGTTTCCCTTTGGAAGCTCAGTTCAGTCTTGTTGCTTTCTGTAAACTCTGAGCTACACTTCAGCCCAATGCCTTTAGTATTGATAGTACTACATGACCACATTTTTAGTGCAGATATTTGACATGATAAAAACCAAAAAAATTGCTAGTAATCCTGTCAGATTCAGGGCAACATTCATTTAACATCTGCTAAATATCTGAAATTGTCTTACAACACACCAGTCTGCAAAGCATGTAAAACTGAAGGTATGAGAAAAAAAAGAATATGAAACTTAAACTGCATTTTCAATGCTTTTTTTTTTTTTTTTTTTTGAGACACAAGCAAGTTTCCTTGGGTGAGCATGAGTATTTGGATGGATAGGTATGTGTGTGCTGTTTGAAGAATATGTCCTTAGAAAATGGTGTTCATGTGAAAGTTTTGATTAAAACCAGAAATGCATTCTATAAAAATGATTGGGATTTTTTTCTGTCTTTGGGCATTGTATCTTCATATGGTATCTTATATATGGCATGTGCAAATATTTTATTTACAGTATATGCCATATTCCTTGATAAGACCATATCACATTCTATATTGCACTGAATATTGCCTTGTTGATAAAATAGAAACTTTAAACATTTTTGAATTTGTTTTTCCTTATATACTTGCAGAAGACTTCCACTATGCTAAAGTAGCATTTGAGCACTTTGTCTTAAACAGTGCCACAGGAATGATAATTCAATTCTTGAGTCAAGTTGCTGAAAATTGGAAAGTGCTAAATTTACATTTGCCCATTGCTGATTCTCTCACTAATTCAGTAAACAAACTGAAACAGAAATGCCACGGAAAAAGCAGAGATATATGATCAATTAGACTATATCAGGGTATATGGATACAGAAAGTTGGGCTTTAGTTGTCAGTTATAAAGCTAAGCCTCCCTAGCTCTCACAAGTTTGTGCAATATTAGTAATCTTCTGGTCATGGTTATGATGTCTTAGCTGTTTAAAGAAAAAAATGATTATCAGTTCTAGATGTGCCTCCACAAACTGCTCAAGCTCACATGATCACATCAGATGGCATCTAGTCCAAACTAATGAATTTTGCCTCTCAGCAATGGTACTAATGGTCATGCAATATTATCCTTTCAGTATGAACTATATGCTGTGTTCATAGTTGAAAATGTAATGACAGTGCTTTTTCTTTGGCTGCTGAAGATGCACAGCTTGCACTTGAGTTCAGTAAAGACAAAAGGGCCTCTGGCACCCAGGGTAGTGACCCTCAACAGCAGAACATCTCTATAAGCAATCAAAAAATGTAGAGCAAGCTCCTTTCTACATGTATATGTAGAACTGATGATAATGAAAAATGATAGCCAGAGAGCCGTATTTTAGGTTTCAAAATAAAATGCTTATGAAACATCTAATTTTATTATTTTTCTTCTAATTGATAATTTGATTTTGATATTATGTATTTGAATCAGCTTTTTTTGCCTTTTGACTTAGATAATTGAAAAATTTGAAACAGAACTTTCATGGAATTTTTCAAACAGGCATATTTTTAGTTTCATTGTAATCTAGAACAGGAATGTGAAATATCCCAAAATAAAAATGAACATTCCTAATTGCACAAATACTTACGTTTGTGTGGAAAGGTTTCTAATTTTTCACCTCTCTGTGTTTGTTAGGCACAAAAATATATTTTATTTATTTTTATTTACCTGTGGCATAATTTTAATGAAATATATTTTAGATATTTTTCATTACCATACCAAACTATGAATAAATGGTAAACTTAAAAAATTAAGAACTCTTAAATTTAATCTACTTTACATCATCATTTCATCTACTTTCATCATCACAAGTAAGGAATCCTAAAACATACTTTACATTTGCCAAAATTTGGAGAGTATTCTGGTGTTGGGTTTTTGGTTGGTTGGATTTGGATTTGTGTTTTGGGTTTTTGTTTGTTTGTTTTTTAAACTGGTTTTAAACCAGACGATTACATGAGTTGAAAGCTGAGAGGGTGGGGAGTAGGGGGATAATGTTACTGTTGGTGGTTTGGGGCATGTTTGTGTGAAGACTGAATTACTCTCCAAGTCATGAAATCTTAGATAACTTCTGCTCTTTCCTGCTAATTTTCTTTTGCCTTTCCAGCATCCCTATTTGGTTGGTGACTGAACCTCTATCAGGAATAGAGTCATTAAACTTTGAAACTTTCCATTTAGTGATAGAAAAGGCTAACAATATCTGACGGGAAAACAGAAAATGTAAGTTATGATACAGTTACAACAGAAACAGACAGGGACCTTTCCCAAAGGACACGATTCTGTTTTAAAGAAAGGAAGAGAGAAGTAGAGGGAACTAGTTAATAGATTGTGCCACCCATTGCAATTTTACTCCGTCAGAAAGGAAATACTGTTTTACTTAAAAGTAAACACACTGTCGGCTTTATTCCGGTGATTGACACTGATTTCCTCAGGATTAGGGATTTAATTAATGCTTCTGGTGTTCTATGGAAAACTTTGCAGACATCTAAGTCTTATGGTATATCTGTGAACATAGGCTTTAATTACAAGTGTTGAGCATTAAGCTGCATAGAACAATCACTGGATTATTTGTACTGAGTAGTTAGGAAATGGAAGAATGCCAAATAGCTTTTTGCACTAAATATGTTTAGTGCACTACATATGCTTAAGTATGTTGAAAGCCAAATGCAAATGTGTGCTGAAGCATTTGTACATTCTGAGGTACTCTTTGACATTTTTTCATTTTTTAGATTTAGTATAAGATATTGTTACTGGCTAAATGCTTAAAGGACTCAAGGGAAGGGACTGGTTCTGTTTTAAAAGATAAGTTGCAAAGTTACAAAGACTAAAGTCTTGTAGACTTTAGTAAGATTTTTCCAGGCAGAATCATGCACAATTCAGTGATTCCATTGATTTCTATGACATGTCTGGAATCACAGAGCCATTTAGGTTGGAAAAAGCCTTTAAGATCACAGAGTCCAACTGTTTACCCAGCACCTGGGAGAAGACAACAAGCCCCCTTCATTACAGCTTCATTTTGGAAGTTGTAGAGAGCAGTAAAGTCTCTCCTGAGCCTCAAGCACAGTAATCCAATCATCGAGAAGACAAGATTCATCTTGATTCACTCTGATCCCTGAAGCAATTCTGTCTTATTGCCCTTATAGTCCCAGTTAGCTGGGGTGGCATTTAGCAAATGCTAAAAGCTTGCTTGCTTGTACAGATACCCACTTGTTAGGTAGGTTTTCAGCAAACTTGGTCTGGATAAGGATTAAGCACTGTTCAGAATGTGATTATTTATTTATAACCAGTCCCTTTAAGTGGAGAGAGGCACCTTGAACAAGGCTGTTACCAAATCCAGCCAGTGCTCTGGAGTGCTCTGTCACAGAAGCATGGTTGCTGTTCATCTTGGGTTAACAGCGTTTGAGTAACTGTTGAACAAACCTTTCTGAGCAGGGTGCGTGGAAACAGGGTGGTCTTTTTCGAGCTAGTCACTGTGAAGGTTCAGTCTGTGCCTGTGTAGAGTGCTGGACTAATTAAGAAAAGAAAATTCAGAAAGGAGCTAGTGAGGATGCTGTGGCTGTTGTCTCTAGAACTGCAGTGGTCTGTTAAATGCATCAGGGTTTGCTAAATGTTTTTATAACCACCTGGTGATTGCTTTCTGATACTACTTTTATCCACTCAGAATGCTCACTGTTTCAATTTAGGTTTGATATTTTCTTACCATTGTTTTTATGGATATACAGCAATTTTATTCCATGAGTATTCAGCTCTTGAGAATTAACACTCATAATTGCAAAGTTCAGGATCACAAGTGAATAATTTTAAAGAAATGTCATTGTGGTAAGAAATTTTTTAATTAGTTATTTCTTCATGATATGTTGAAATGTAATGTTACCCAGCTGTCCATGAAACAGTGTGCTTGATACAGAGTGGTTATAAATAATTTCCCACTATCTCTTTTTCTCATTTTGAATGCTTTCTATTGGTCATCAACTGGCACAAGCTCAAGGAAAAATCTTATGACATGCCTTTATGGGTATTCTTGGCTACATCTCTATAAATACGTTAAAACAAAATAAAATTTCTTTTGCTCTGTACTAGATTCTTTACTGTTTAGCAATTGCAGAATTGCCTCCAAGGTTAATCAGATGTTAACATCAAGCAATGCCATTTTTCTTCAAGGTCTGCTGTACTGTCAATGGATGTCTTTTCCTAATAACATTCAGGTTTCTGTTTTAAGAAGTTGCAGCTATGCAAACAAGCTTATCTGAGCCAACAATAAAAAAATCATTGATTTTAATTAGGAGTTGTCACATAACAGAAAAAGACAAGGCTCCTTTTGTTCTTTGAAAAGCCTGCTTTGCCTGCTTGCAAAAATGCATGGATTTCTTTCCAATGGCTTTACATAATTGGTGTGACAAAGTTTCAGTCCTGTGATCCTAGAGTTTCCAAGGGATTCAGATACACTTGTCCAACTTTGTTTTAGGTATTTGATGGTAATCTGTTACAGAAGTTGGTAGATGGCATGAACATGAGGTCTGCTTTGTTTGTTTAAAGGAGTAGGATAAGCTTAAACTGAATTAGAGAATATTTATGTTGAGACTGCTGAAATTATTGAGACCACATTTTTAAAAATGAGCCACTGTTGAAAAACAAGGTTGCTCAGCTCTGACTGTGTCACAAGGACTCTTGAGTTTTGAATGACTGGATAAATGTGGTCTGAATCCATTGTGTAAATTAACAATGTGAGCTGCTAAGTTGTGGCACTGATTTTATGCCTGCACCAGTGAAGCAGGTCCAGTATCACGTAAGTTGTCAAGGACACATAGAGATTGAACAAATTCTGTAGAAATCATTATAATTGATAGCCCTGTGGGCACAGTGACTGAAAATGTGCAGTATCTCCCCAATTAAACTCAGACTGATAAAGTTAGTTAAATGAATCTCTGTGAAGCCTGGGTTCGTGGCATTTCAGTGAATCAGCGGAGAATTTGGTTCCAAATTAAAAGCAAGCCATCTGAAGGATTGTTGACCTGCTTTAATTGTGAGAAGGTTTTCAAAAGTCTGTCATGCAAATTTGTGAGAGATGACATTTTCTCTGAAGGCAGAGGTTTGCTAGTTCCAGTTCTGATTGTTACACTAGCTGAAGGGCCACTGAATGCAACACTAATCTTGAATAATGAGTCTGAATCATCAGGGATCTTGAAAAATGGTGATGGCCACTTTGGACACTCATCTCCCATCATCCTTCAACTATCCAGAGTGAAAAGCTTTTAGATAGTCTTTGTAAGGGTAAGAAGACAGCAGAAATAAGCTTATTATAGCGGGTTCTGTTTACTAACTTCAGTTCTTACACTTCTGTCATAATAGTAGCTGGGTGCTTTATTTTTTTTCAGTAGGTAAGGGTAGATGGGTCACTGAATCTGTCAACATGACTTTTGAAGCTGAATTAAAGTATCAACATTGTACTATTTCATGTTGTATTTTGCTAGTGTGACAGACTCTCTGTTACCATTAGGCAAAAATGCTGTCTGGTCAGCAAGGAAGTGGTACACCTGGACACTCTTTGAACCTGAGGTAGATAGAGAAGGCTAAAGTGACTCGAATAAGGAGAATTCTAGGTTGCTTATAAGGAAGAGGACAGTGATCATCCAGCCCTTGAAGACTTACATGGCTGTGAAGTTCTGATGCAATTTTATGTCAAAGATGTTAGGAGTATTTAAAGAGGAACAAAATATAGAAATAAACTGCTTTCGTAAGGATAAATAACTATGAGAGTTTGTTGCAGTAAAAACACAATCTTTATAAAGGATAATTAGTAGGTTATCTATCTCTCAGGCTTTACCTTGAGATAATGTTTTTTTTCCTTTGATAGTGTGTATGTGATACAACTGAGAAGCATGAGGCCTTTAGTGGCTCAGAGAATGCAAAACAAGCTTGCAGCAGGGTGAGGCAGCTGCATATTCCTTTCAGAGGTAATGGTGGAGTCATGTCTCAGGTACGTATATAGAGAGCGTGTCTAAGGGTGTAGGGATGTTGAACATTTCTGCAATAGACTGCTGGTGGCAGAGGCTGGAAACGTATGCTGTGGTATGTCCTCTTGGATAACCTGCTGCTTGTGTGTGGTGGTATTTCTTGCTGCTGCTACTTGTTTCTCCAGAGGATGACATGGAAGGACATGGTTGAGTAGTTTAACTTCGACATATTGTCACAAAGAAGAGAAGAAAATTATGCTACCAGGCTTTACCTCATATTTGATGAAGACAAAACACAGATTTGAGGTATTTTTGTTTTATGCATGCTTAAAACTTGCATTTTATTTTCTCAGTTTTTAACCTTTCTAGACAGGATTCAGTCACTTTTCTACTAGTTGCAAAGATTCTTCAGTCCTTGTGCAATTCTGCGTAGAGGAAGCAGGCACAACATTAATTCTGGAAATGTAGTGTTTGGATCTATTCTGGCATGTATCCAGCAAGCTCAGAGTTCAGGCAGTCTTCTCACTTGTGTCTCTTTAAGACCTGTAGGTATACAATATTAGTGATCCCGACAGCCTTCCTCAGTGTACTGGTAAGCCATACAAACAATAACATAATTTCTAAAATGGTGAAGGAAATCAAAACACAGTTATTTTGTTTTACCTCTAGAGTGACTCTAGGGAAGTTACAAGAAGTATTCTGTAGATGTTTTAGAATCTGACTCATTGCTGTAGGTTTTGTAGATACACCTTATGATGCTGTGTATTCCATCAGTTTTCATGTGCAAGATTCTGTAGTGTGTACAGTTACTGGCATTCAGTTTCAAATGATTGTATTACCTGAGCATATTGCTGGACTCCTGCAAAGCCGTGGTAAATCATAGTTTCTGAACACCTTCTGAACTGAGTCTGTTACAGCTCCTGTATTTATTTCCCTTTTGGAGTAGACTGCTTATATACATATAGTACACAATAAGCAGTAACTTGTGAAGTGTTTATAGGTACACTTGAAAGCCAACAGGTACTAACTGTAAGAGAAGGAACTGTCAGAACTGTGAAACATTCTGTGTGGGTTTCAGTTATCTTGGTCTCTAAAACACTTGTAGTTCACAGAACCACAGAACAGGTCAGGACAGAAGGAACCTCAGTGCATCGTCTGGTCCAGCCTCCCTGCTCAGGCAAGGTCATCCCAGAGCACATGGCACAGGATTGTGTCCAGACATTATTGAATATCCTTAATTAGGGAGACTCCACAGTCTCTCTGGGCAACTTTTTCCAGTGTGCAGTCACACTCACAGTGAAGAATTCCTTCTTTGTGTTCAGGTGGAACTTCCTGTACATCAGTTCCTTCCCATTACTCCATCCTCTTGACACTTTCCCTTCAAATACATAAACACATTCATGAGATCTGTCATCCATCCCTTCTCAAGGCTAAACAAGCCCACCTACCCCAGTCTTTCCTTGTAAGAGATGCTCCAGTCTCTAAATTATCTTCATTCCCCTCCTCTGCACCTGCTCCAGGAGCTCCATGTCTCCCCTGTACTGAGAAGCCCAGAACTGGACACAGCACTCTAGTTATGGCCTTATCAGGGCTGAGTAGAGGGAATGGATCCCCTGCCTCAACCTGCTGGCAGGGTTCTTCCTGATGCACCCCACTGGCCTTCTTGGCCATCAGGACATGCTGCTGGCTCATGGACAGCTTGTTGTCCACCAGGACCTCAGGTCCTCTGTAGAGCTGCTCCCCAGCAGGTCAGTTCCCAGCCTTTGTTCATGCCCAGGGTTACTCTTCTCCAGGTGCAGGACCCTGCATTTGCTTTTGCTGAGCTTCATGATGTTCTTCTCTGCTCATCTCTCCACCCTGTTGAGATCCCTCTGAAGGGCTGCAACAGCTCCCTGGGTTATTGGCCACTTCTCCTGGCCGTGTGTGGTTAGTGAACTCACTGAGGATGCATATGTCCTGTTATTGAAGGTATTGATAGAACTGGACAAGTTTTGAACCTTTGGGGACACCTCTAGAGACAGGCCTCCAAGTAGAGGCTGTGACACTCATGACTCTCTGGGATCCATTCCACCAGTTCTCAATCCACCTCACTGTCCACTCACCCAGTCCACACTTCTGAGTTTGTCTTTGAGGATCTTGTGAGAGACAGAGTTGAAATACTTGCTAAGGTTGGCAATACCCACTGCTCTTCCCTCATCCATCCATAGTTGTTTGATTGTAGAGGCAATCAGGTTGGTCACATTTGCTGTGAAGCTTGGAATGATGTTTGCTTTCTTCCAGTCCTCAGGCACCTCTCCTGATTTCTATGACCTTTCAAAGATGATCATGAGCAGCCCCACGATGGTGTCTGCCAGCTCTCTCAACATTCATGGATGCATTCCATTAGGGCCCATGGACTTGTGGATATCCACTTTACCTAGGTGATCTCTAACCCAGTCATCCTTGAACAGAAGAAAGTTTTCCTTGTAAAATTCCTTATCCCGGTTTCCTGGTTCAGATATCCCTATGATCTGGTCTTGTCAGTGAACATGGATGCAAAGAAGGTATGCATCATTTTTGACTCATGTATGTGATTAGCTGCATGTTTTGGTGGGAAAAATTTTGAAGCATATTATAACTGATAGAAAAAAAAGTAATTGTTGAAAATTGGGAGTACTTTTTCCTAGTTAATTGTGGCCTGGAATCACTCAAATTTTACATTGGTCCTTATGGTGCAAAAACCTGAACCTTGCAAGTGTTTGATCATATATAAGAGCTTTGGGACTGATGTGGGAAATTAGAGGGAAGGGTAGGGAAGCAGCAAAGAGCTTGATCACTTTCCTTACATCAGAGATACCCAGGGCAGTTTGGTTTTTTTTGTTTTGTATTTTGTGTGGGGCAATGAGCACTTCACGGAGAAATACTCCTCCTACTGTCCTTGAAGTTGGCCTCCTAGTAAAAACATCATTATCACCTGGAACAACTTACTGACTATATTCAGGAGGTCAGGTGGATTTTATCATACCATTGTTTCATTATTTTAGGGAAGTTGATGAGATGCATCCTGATAAGTGTTCAGGTGTATGGTAAATTGCCCATACACCTATGTCCCAGGGTATCCATCCTAGGAAATCTGAAGTTTTTCCTCACTGGCTTTCCCTGAGTTCAGAGCTAGTTGCAAATGCATTATGTAAAGAAGCGTTTTAAACATGTTTTGATTAGTTTTGCTTCATATCGTGTATATAAACAGACATTTTGATTTTTGAGAACTGCATTTTTCTGAAAGCCCAATTTTTGTTTGTTAAAAATAGCTCTTCATAAAATATGTCTTGTGTAAAACATGCTGGCTCCCTTTGCTGCCTGTTAGAACAGCAAACTAAATATCTCAGTGTTGGCTACTTGACAAGTGTATGATCTTCATGGTTTGTGGTAATAAAAATATGATAACCTTACTGTGGGTGCCCTTTGGTTTAAGTGGTGATGTATCAGAATGCCCACATGTTAGGGAGGATCACAAATTTCTTTCTTATCTATTATGAGGAATTATAACATCTCACGTGCATGGTAGAACATGAATTAGATTGCTAGAGGTATTTTGCAAAGTGATACAAGTTTGCACCACTACAAGTAGCTAAGTTGCAAGACTAATCCTTTCAGAGAAAACAGATTTATTTTGAGGAATTTGGATGACTCAGAAATTTGAACAGAAGTCAATCAGAAGAATCACCATACCCTGTAAGAATAGCTAAAGCTGACTCTGCTATAGCTGTAAACAAGAGTCTCATCTGGCTTAACTTGCATCGAAATTCTGATTGGTACTGGGAACTGTATATTTTAAATGAAGTCAAGGTAACAAAGTTGCATATGCTGTGCTGTCTTTTGACTTTTCCTAATAAAAATGGCTGTTACTGCTTAACATAATTAGGTTTTTATACTAATTCTGGAATATCTGCTTAACAGCTCTTCATTTTATTAAGATACTAGGCATGTATTTTCCCTTAATTAAACACCTGTCATCAACAATATAATAGCACTCTGAAACATGGATGCTTTTAGCATTTCTGTAAAAATCTTCAAATCCTTTTAAAATGCCTTTTTAAGTTAGTTGTAAGTAGAATGAAATACCTCTATGTTTCAAGGGCTGATAACCTCTCAAAGAGAGATGAAAACTGATTTCTCACGTCAAGCAGCAGACCATTAATGGGAATGACAGCAAAATGCATAAGCGAATTTTCCTTACCTGCAGTGTAGAAAAAATTTGGCTGACTCTGGAGTGGTATTGATTGCTGACTTTTTTAAAAGGCTTGCCTGCATTGTGTTTTGTCTGTTGAAAGAAGCACTATTAAAGGCCTTAGTTTGCAGTCAATTAATCTCCTGGAGTAATTTGTTTGCCTGATTCTGTTGCCAGATGCGCTATCCAGATACAAGCCACTTTTTCTGGTGGCTAAAGAGACTTAGCTGATAAAGCAGTTTATTATGTTTCTTTACGGTAAAGTACATTGATCTTGCTCATGGAAAATGTTAGTACTTTCTCCTTTGTTTGAACTGTACCTCTATTTTTTTAGTAATTGTTGTCTGTGACTTAGATCTCGTTAGGATTATGCCAAGGTCACTGAATGGCATGTCAGCTTAATTACAGCGGCTTTCAAGCTGAACAGTTCTGACTCACAAATAGGAATTCACAGTTAGGTAAATGAACAATCTGAAATCTCCAGGTTGCATTCCATGCAGTACATAGGACCTTGCAGTAAGATGCTGGGTGAAGACTGTATTCCTTGGCTCCAGTGAACAGCAGCTGAATTTAAAAAGTCTTTGACTTGAAATGGGACTGAGCACGCCAAGGGTGGGCTATAAGTTGCAGATTTTAGCTGTCTTATTTTAAACAGGTTAAAAATGAGCAGTTTTTCTCATTATGTTATCCTAGTTGGAAAGTTTTTTAGCAGCAGTGGTGGAGACGTCTGGTACCCTAAAGGGAAGGGCATCTGTTAGCAAGAGTGACTTGTCCATTGCAAACAGTGAACTATTAAATAGTGCTCTTCACTGGGGAAAAAAAGTAATAAGGCCCATGCATCAGGTTAAAAGTCCAGTTCTTAAGAAAAGGCATAAGCAGCCTGTAGTCTTTTGCCCCCGAAGTTTCTACAGGTTGAAAACCACCTTCTTAGAATTATATCAGGATATGTGTTATTGAACCAAAATCTTATATCTTCCTGCAGCTGAATAATGCATAAGAATTTTGTTTTCAATGAGATGCAGCTTCCATTTTTAGTGATCTATGTTTCTTTTTTTGCTTTGTGTTTTACCGAACTGACATCCACATATCTTATAAATCAGACTGCCATATGCTTCTAAAATATAATTGGCTTTATTTTGTACTTCAAAGGTCATTGCAGTGGCGCCTATGTATACCAACATAAGATGCATCTAATAAAAAATGTCAGAATATGAAGGAAAGAAGAATAAAGCAAGAAACAGAATCTTCTTTCATGTATTCCTGAGCAGATACATCAAGAACATTTATCATTGTGTTTATAGTCAGTGTTTATTCAGATTAGATAGGATTAGCTCAGGTGTTTTTGAATACAGGTGTTACAAGACAAAAGTCTTACAGTTAAAAAAATAAAATAGTAGTGTACCTTTCATGTTGTCCCTAACGTTAAAATAACTGAAGTGTCTGAGAAATTTCTGTAGACAATAGGTATGGTCAGTTCTAATGGCCAGACCCAGGCAATGATCAAGGGTAGAGCTGTGTGCCACTACCAGGTAAATTATGGTCCAGATCAAAGAGGCCAAGAAATGTACTATTTCAAAAAACTTATCAAGACCATCTGGCATCCATTGTCTCAAAGCAGCAGTCAGAGGAACCTGGGCTGAAAATTTGGATTTAGGCTAGACTGAAAACCTAAGCAGTTCATGAGTAAATGGTTAAAAAGCGGTATCTAGAACAGAGCACTAAAGACTAAAGATTTTTATCTGATGCAGAATATTGGTGCAGGATTTAAGACTGAGCAGTCTGTGTGGATCTCTGCTGTATCCTAGGGGAAGTAACCTAGTGGTTCCAGGCCACTCTGTCAGCTTCATGGTCTTGCCTTTCATGTCCTAGAGTACTGATTTATGGAAGCACAGAAGTGGCCAGGTGCATCTTGGTTATTTTATTTAGGCTGAACTGCTTCTAAATCAATTATTCCTGATCAAAAAAGAACAATTGACATGTGGCATTGTGTAATTTGTTGCCTGCCTGGGACAGATGATGTCCTGACAGGGAAAAGAACTTCCTGAGAGGCTCTTAAGTTTTATGGCATAGCGTAACTTCCGCCTTGGCCTCAGCTATTCAGGATGCCTGAGAATCGTGCTTTGCTGCAGTGGTTTGCAGTGTCTTACGTGACTAGTTAGGGGAGAGGGAAGGAGCCCCATGGGTCATGTGCCTTAACCATCTTCCAAACGTTGTGCACACGTTTGTGTATTCTATGCGATGTATAGAGCGTGCATACTGTAAGTGCAATTACTGAACATAATAAAATTACTAGAGCATTTTAATGGAGGGAGAAGGGTAAGATGGGTAGGCTAATGGGTTTTTTTAACATTTAATTTGTTTAATTCATTCTCAGTAATTAAACTCGTGGGCTGACTACAGAATGGAAATGAAGGATCACAAAATAGAACTAATGTGTCTTTTAATTTAAAATGTGCATGCCTGTTGACTCAGACATTTAAAATACAGAAATTTTTCTAGTCAGTTTGAAATACATATTTTGAGCTTTTCATATGAAACCAGCAACAAAGAGAACCACTAACAAGCAAATCATTACAGTCTCTTTTGTCAAGATGCTATGGCTTGATTTAATTTTCTATGGAATTACATTGATAGATGAAAAGCCTTACAATTACTTCAATACAAATTAAGTAGCTAAATTCCTAGTTAGCACATCAGATATGAATGGTTATTACTGAGTGTATTTTGCTATGGTTGAAAGGGCAATTGACAGCAGTAATGCTTACATGTAGAATGATGATGGTTGACCCTAATCAGCTTGTATAGTTCACAATGACCTGATGTTTCCTGGGACAGTGATCAAAGTTCTGTGAATCTTTCTAATGCAAAGAGTTACTCATTATACTCCCCAGCAAATTCTTTGAAGATTTGGGATTTCTGTAATAAACCTGAAGCATGTAGAACAACCACCCAGTCAGAGGTGGTAAGCTGTTATTGCTCCATGATGGTTTTTAGGAGACTAGCCACTACTGTTCCATGGAGATATGGGACATCTTCATTACTTTTATGTTATTGTAAAAAGTACACTACATTACTTACATTATTTTAGTAGTCTAGATTTAAATAATCTATGTTCAAAACTTGGTATCTCAGGAGTATCTTCCTGAGAACTCCACTATCCAAAGATATGTAATAGGCAAGGAGAAGTAGCCAATATTCATTACTGTTTTCCTCCTTGGTGTTTATGACTCAGTGTTATGAAGTATTAAGACAGGAATGAACATTGCTTAAGACA